CTGAGTCAATTCCAACTCGGAGTGACACTCTAGGACAGGGAGACCTGCCCCGGTGGTTCTGAGCCTGTAAGTCTTTATGGGAGTCGAAACTGGGGTGGGGTGGGGGGTGGAATTAAGAAAGGGTAAAGAATTTTACTGTCAGAAGTTTAATCTTTTCCTCTGGAAATTGTTGACTCCAATGGTTTTATTTTTTTAAGTACTGCTCAATTTGGTTTTTTTAAAAATACTTTTATTGGGGGCTCTTACTTCTCTTATCACAATCCATACATTCCTCCAGTGTGTCAAGCACATTTGCACATATGCCGCCATCATCATTTTCACAGCATCCTCCTCCCACTTGATCCCCTGATATCCGCTCCTCATTTCTTCCCCCTCCCTCCCCCACTCACCCTCCCTCATGAGCTCTTGATAAGTTATAGGTTATTATTTCCATATCTCACATTATCCTCCATCACCCCTCACCCACTCTTCCGTTATTCGTTCTCCTGGGAGGGAGTTATATATTGATCCTTGTGATTGATTGCCCCTTTCTCCCCCCACCCTCCCCTAATCTTCCTGGTATCTCTACTCTCCTTGTTGGCCCTGAGGAGTTTATCTATCCTGGATTCCCTGTGTTGCGGGCTCATCTGTAGCAGTGTGCATGCGCTGGCCTAATCTCATTCATAAGGTAGAATTGAGGTCATGATAGTGGGGGGAGGAAACACCAAAAAACTAGAGGAAAGTAGTATGTTTCATCAGTGCTATACTGCACCCTAGCTGGCTCATCTCTTCCCTGTGACCCCTCTGTGAGATGATGCCCAATTGTCTACAGATGGGCATTGGGTCTCCACTGCATACCACCCACCCCCATTCACCTGGGAGTTTTCACACTTTCTCAGGCTTGAGTTTGTAAGGCATAAAGGCACCTTTGGGTCAGAAATGGGCTGTGGCTTGGAAAGCCAGTCTGAGTTGCCCCCACTGTTTGCACTGAACTGTCCACCTCCTAGCAGATGGCCCAATTCCCTTGTCTGAGTGTGAGCTCCCCAGGTTTGGGACCCTCTTGGAAAATCTATTTTCCTAAAAGTTAAAGTCACCCGGAGAGTTGCAAAGAGAGCTCCAATGAAAAACGGATTCAATTATTTATTAGCACTCTCAGAGCACAGTGTCAGCCAAGATAGTACTTGAAATTAATATACTATTTGATTAGACTGATTGATTGTTCTTACAGCTGAGGATTTTAACATTCATTAGCCATACTATCTGGTCATTAGTACTTCCTTTATCAGCAAGCAAAGAATCAACAGAACTTCTAATAAAAATTCATCACAGTCAATGTATCCCATCCCGAAGCATGTGCGCAGCTTGTCAGTGGACTAGATTCACTGCTGTAACCGTGGCAAAGGAAAGGTTTCTGTTAGGAAATTTTAAAATGCCCCTAATTAATGTTGACTTTGTAACTGGACTCTTTTAAAATCTAAGTAAGCTATTCAGATAATCTCTTACATATCCAGTATAATAAAGTGCTAATGGGTATTTTATACTTAATACGTTTCTGTGGGATCTTTTAAGTAGTAGTTTCAGGGAGGATTGAGGGCTGTCTGAGGAGCGTTCTGCTAATGTGCTTCAGGTGAAGTGCCCTCCCCGCTAGTGGCAACCCCACTGCTGAGGAATAAAGCCCCCTGGCCTCTGTCTTCAATGGGTCTGTTTAAATAAACGCGGCTTTTAAAGGAAATATGCTAACCTGTTATACTGTGTGACATGGGTCTCTGTGTACTGTGTCATGAGCTCCCTTGTGGTTTGGGAGTAAATTGGAAGGAATGATAAGAAAGAGGAAAGAATGGTGGGTAAGCAGGGAACTCTATGAATGGCCGCAAAGCCTCTAAGGGCAGGAATTCGGCAGCCCCATCGTGATTGCCTCCTCACCGTTTTACAAGCATTGGATCACTTTCTACTCAGAAGGATCTTTCCGGTAGATAGTACTGTTCCCCTTTTATAGATGAGAAAACAAGATCAGAAAGGCTGAGCACTTTTCCAGGGTCAAACAACTGATAAGTCGCACAGGATGTCAGTGATTCTGGGGGTTCTGGAGCGCGGCTCACCCACCTGGCTACCCTGCTCTAGTACAACCTCAATCAAAATGTGTTTTTCTTTCTGTTTGTAGGTGGGCCTATCAAGGTCTACAATCCACTCACTCCTCGTGTATTGATTATATCATTACCTGACATTTTGCTTTTGTGACAATAGTAATAAAGGAAAAGTCTAGTTCTTTTGAGCGTTAAGGAGGCAGCAGGTATGTTGGCCAGGACTGTGGAGCCTCCCATTCCTCGGGGAGAATCTCAGGGTGGCCGTTAAGAAGCTGGGTGACATTGCCTGGTGCCTGCTGTCCCCTCCAGGCACCTCCAGCTGTCAAGGTGGACTGGCCTCCTCTGTGGCCACAGAGGGAGACACAGGCAGCACCAAGCCTGCGGATGCCTGTTCTGCGTTCCCAGCTTGCATGAGTCTGAGACCCTGTAGCTGCAAGTTGCTATGTGGTGGGAAGGGAGGAAAAGAAAGAGGCACAGTGGAGAGATTTTGAAAGAAACTTGTGGGTTCTGACATCCCAAAGTGAACTGAACTGGGCCAGGAGCCTCAGCGGGTCTGAATACACAGCCATGCTCCCAGCGCCCATGCAAGAAGCCCTGAACCTCAACCCTCGCCAGGTTTGGAGAGGGGCAGATTTCAGAATCTTGTATGCAGAGCCTGCAAGGCATGGGGTCCTCGAGGCAGCTCTGCAAGGGAAACTCGGACTGAGCACGGGAACAAGGTTTGAACGTCTTCACACCTGGAGCTTTCCAGTTGGATTGCCAGGCTTTATCCAGCTTTGTCTCCTTGAAGCATCCCTCTTAGGAGAGGAATCATCTATCTGAGACTCATCACAGTCATGAGCAGGCACATCAGTAAATCTGAGCCGTTATTTTTTTCTATGGTCATATTTCCTATGTATATAATTCTGTATGCACATATATGTGTGTATGTTCTATATGAACATATGTGTGTGTGCACGTGTATAAAGGTGTGTGTGACAAATGAAGACAGAAGGAAAAAATCCTCCATTTTCACATTCTGACCTGGTTTTTGAAAAGTAACCCTGGCAGTCCGTGAGGCATTGGTACATATACCAGGGGAAGAATAAAAGTATTGCCACAAAAATCATAGGCACCCTTTTTAAACAAAAATATAAAACAAATGAAGCTATTGTTTTTAACATATCTTCTGTCCATGTCTATACATTTCTGAAGCTGTGTTTCTATCTCTCCACCCCTTCTTCAAATAATTCTGCACTGTTCAATGTATACAACATTAAAACAGCAATGGGGGCATGTAGAGAGACTCAGGTTATGTTCCCTTCCAGTATTATTTCAGGTTTTGCAACATCAAGAAATCTGAAGAGGCAAGATCTGGGCTGTAGGGTAGATGGGGTAAGATTTCCCAAAGCAATTCTCATAGGAAAACCCATGCCACCCTTGAAGAATGAACAGGTGCATTGTAGTGATGGGAATTCCCCGGCACCATTTGGATGGCATCTTTCTCATCAATGCCATTTTCCATTTTCTTTAAAACTTCTTTATAGTATGCCCCGTGATGTTTCGGTGTCCTCTAAGAAAACCCTATCAAGATGAGCCCTTTGGAATAAAAACAAACAAAGAACAATCACATAGTCCCTTGTGCTGACCTCTCTCCCTTGACTATAACTGGCCAAGCAGATCCCCTAGGAAGCCACTGTTTTCATTGGACTTTTTTTTAAGCCATCCCAATGAACCTGAGACAAACATTACTGAGAGAACTTGTCTTCAGCCACCCACTTAGGACAGAGACGTTCAAACACGTTTCATTTAGAATGCCCCATGCCTTATATACTGGAACCCTGATAGCAATTCTTTCTGACTTGCCAGCTTGTGTTATGTCTATTGGCTCTAGCATGATTCCAGACAACCGGATATGCATGTGAGACTGGTGAAGGAATCAGACGGACGCTAGGAGCCATCCAGCTACGCCATCCCATAGGCTGGCAAGATCTGCTAGGGCGGGAGTCAGCGAGGAAACCCCGTGACTGGTTACGGAGCCCCAGTTAGGCAAACAGAGGGCAGTGTAAGGGAATCTTGATTATTTCATCCTTGGTGAGCAGAAATAATCTTCAGATAGCTACTAATCTGAGAATAGGGTGTGTGCGGGAAATCCTATCAATAAGAAATCATGACAAAATTGAAATTGTCCCCCCAAAAGTGAGCCAGTATCAAGACTCATGTCTGTCAGAAAGAGACTGGGGAAGAGAAGGACTAAGGGAGCCATGATGAAGGGGTTCCCTGCGGGTGCGGGTCCTAGCACTCAAAGCTAATACAAGAGGAGGGAACCGAGAACACGCTTCCTCATCCTGGGCCTGATCAGGTACGGGGCTGGAGAGACAGCTCGGTAAGGGAAGGCAGAGCAAGGGCTCAGTTGTCAAGAGATTTGGTCCCTGCGTGGCTCCACAGGATGGCTACAAGACCCCAGGCACACACCACTTAAAGTGGGGGTCCCCAAAATAGAGATGACAAGGGAGTTTGCCATGTGTGTCTACAGATAGTATTCCATGATGTCTTTGGACCTAAAACAGTCGGGGGACATGTGCTTTAAGAGCTATCACAGACTGGAGCCCCCTTTGCCTTCATTTGCACGAAAGTTTTAGCTTTACCCAACCTAAGGTTTAAAATGTAGAGGAATCGATAGGAAATGGCTCATTCCATAAATTACAGTTCAATTGCAAGAAGGTTCAAGTTTAATCTATGTTTTGCCCTCAGTGACAAATGACTATGGATAGAAAAGCCTATTTCAACAACTTTGGGGTGTTACTCCACAGAAGAATAGCGTTCATAATTCTGCTCTTTCAAATCCATGCTTGGGGCACTTTTACTTTTTGACTCTTCCGAAAGATTTTAAAGGGATACAATTTTCATGCTTGTGTGCCTTAATTCTCCCTTGTCTCTTTTTTCCCTCCTATGCAGGAGACTCTGAATGCGATTGATCCCGGCGTGATGGATTTAAATGGGACAACTGACGATGCCCTGGAATGGGATGAAACTGACATAAGTCATAAATTAATTAGTTTGAATGAAGAGTCAAACGATCTTGATCAAGAACACCCAGCTGGCATGCCCACCTTGAATCTTGAAGAGGCAGGGGGTGAAGACCCTGGCTGTGAAGAGGAGGCCGGCCATCTTGGGGGACCTCACTATGCGTCAAGTATTACTGCCCCCTCCAGCCCACACGTCTACCAGGTGTACAGCCTCCACAACGTGGAGCTCTACCAGGACACCCACACGCCGTTTCTGAAAAACCACCCGAAGCTCACCGGTGTGACACAGCCTATGGCTTTAACGAAGAGTCTCAGTAAAGATTCTTCATTTTCGTCTACAAAATCTCTGCCAGATCTTCTAGGGGGGGCCACTTTGGCAAAGCCCTGCCCTTGCCACGGAGGGGACATGAGTCAGAATTCAGGCAGTGAGAGTGGAATCGTCAGCGAGGGAGACACAGTTGGTAGTTTTACCACCAACTCTGACATGTGCTTGCTCCACGCAGGCGTTGGGTCGCCAAGCCCCCCTGACGCAGAGCAGCCGGACTCTAAAGTGGGAGAGGCAGTGGACATGGTAAAGCACACATGTCAAGATGAGGACGAGCCGGTTACGCTTCCAAGTAGCTCTCAGCCATCCATCTCCCCAGGGAGTTGTGTCCATGGAAAAGCCGGAGATTTCAACAGTGTGACCAAACGTCCCCCTGATTGTTTGGGAGAAGAATTACAAGGAAAACATGATGTGTTTACATTTTATGATTACTCCTACCTCCAAGGCTCGAAACTCAAATTACCAGTGATGATGAAACAGTCACAAAGTGAAAAAGCACACGTGAATGACCCTCTACTTCATGGGTTTTATTTTGATAAAAAATCCTGCAAATATAAACCTCGGGCTGCAGAGTTACAGCCAGATGCACCTGCCCACGAGAGGCTTTTGGCGAGTGCATCCCAGGAAATGGGTCACAGTTCACATAAGAGTGGCGATGGGGAGAAGACCTTCCCGGGCATGCAGAATGCCAGGCAGCTCTCCCTGGTGTCTCGCAGCGCGTCCATCGAGTCGCTTTCCCCCAGCGGGCATTTATTTGGACTGGGCATCTTTAAAAATGGCAGCGACAACCTGCCGCGTAGCGCTTCTTTAGAAAGTTGGTTGACATCCTACAAAAGCAATGAAGATCTTTTCAGCTGTCACAGCTCTGGGGACATGAGTGCCAGCAGCGGTTCGGTTGGTGAGCTGAGCAAAAGGACATTAGATCTCCTGAACCGTTTGGAGAACATCCAGAGCCCCTCGGAGCAAAAGATAAAGCGGAGTGTTTCCGACATCACTCTCCAGAGCACTTCCCAAAGGATGTCCTTTCCTGGCCAGCTGTCCTTGGACATAGCGCCTTCTATCAACGAAGACTCCGCGGCCTCGCTCACAGAACTCAGCAGCAGCGATGAGCTCTCTCTTTGCTCAGAGGACATCGTGTTGCACAAGAACAAGGTCCCGGAATCGAACGCGTCCTTCAGGAAGCGCCTGCCTCGTTCGGTGGCGGATGAAAGTGATGTCAACGTCAGCATGATCGTGAACGTCTCCTGCACCTCTGCGTGCACCGACGACGAAGACGACAGCGACCTCCTCTCCAGCTCCACCCTGACCTTGACCGAGGAAGAGCTGGGCCTCAAGGACGAGGAGGACGACTCCAGCATCGCCACCGACGACGAGATGTTTGAAGACTGCAGCTTGAGGTCAGGGCTGGATTATATCAAGAATGAACTGCAGGCGTGGATGCGGCCGAAGCTTTCCTTGGCCGGAGACGAGAGACGGTGCACCCTCGGTGATGAACCAAAGCGCACGGAAGATGTGAGCAGTGGCGACTGGACCAATCCCTCGGATACCCTGAACATTGAAGCCCTTCTAAACGACTCTCTAAAGCATCTCTCTGAAAGCAACGGAAACGACAAGAATGTACCCCATACCTACGAGACAGGGACAAAGGCAGAAAATAAGAAAAACATTTTCAAAGTTACTAAAGATCCATATATGGCTGACATGGAGAATGGCAACATCGAGAGCGTTCCAGGGAGGCAGGAGGACAAACGGGGTGGCGTTTCAAAGGTATCGGAACATCTTGGGTCAACTGGGCAGATGTCCGAAGGTGAGCTTTGTCAGTGTAGAGCGGTTCTAGGCAGCTCAGATGAGTCGACTGCTGCTGGAAGGGAACGTGTTCCTCAAACTGTTAAGCGTCACCCAAAAAAATGTCAAAACCAGCCCTCTGAACATCAAAGTGTTACTCCTCTTTCCCCTGAGAAGTGGAGCCCAGCACCCCCTTCAGAAGACAGGGTTGCCGACAGAGAGGACCCTGAGGTCCTGACATCAGCATCTGTTGACCCATCAACTGGGGGTGGACACGGTGCCGGTTGCCGCCGAGCCCCGGAAGAGAATGCCACCGAGGACAGTGCTGCTTTCAGCGACAGCATTGCCTGTGGCGACTGTGAGCCAGGTGTTCCCCATCAAGAAGATGCTGAAGATTGTTCGGTACACAACTTTGTGAAGGAAATCATTGACATGGCTTCAACAGCCCTGAAAAGTAAATCTCAGCCTGAAAACGAGGCGGCGGCGCCTACGTCCTTAACTCAGATCAAGGAGAAAGTATTGGAACATTCTCACCGGCCCATCCAGCTAAGAAAAGGGGACTTTTATTCCTACTTGTCCCTGTCCTCTCATGACAGCGACTGTGGGGAGGTCACCAATTACGTAGAAGAAAAGAGCAGCACTCCGGTGCCACTGGATGCCGCCGACTCTGGTCTAGAAGACAAGGAAGACATCGAGTGCTTCTTTGAAGCTTGTGTGGAGGGTGACCCTGATGGAGAGAAGCCCGGTGTTCCCATGACTCCTCTCCCTGGGCCCACGGTCCCCTGTGAAGCTGCAGTGTCGCTACAAGCCAATGCTCGTTCAAGTCCTCCACCGCAGAAAGGGGCTCATGCGGGAAAGGAAGGGGGTGGTCCTCCCCAAACTTCCAGTGCCTGTGAAGTCCTCTCAGAGTTAACTGCCCGCTCAGGGCCGGGCAGTGCCAAGGCGGGTCCAGGAGACCCAGGTGAATCTGGGATGGCAGAAAGCAGTGCTTCAGCCACGCCTGGGACGGCAGGTCTTTCTCTGAAGACCAAGCAGCCAGAGCAAAAGGCTGCCAGGCCTCCCGATCCCCAAACTTTAGCCTGTGAAGAGAATCTTCTACTCCTTCACGAGGAGCCACGCAGAAATATGCCTCGGTAGATGTGACCCTCTCCACGCATGGAAATCATCACATTGAGAGGTGCGTAAAATGATGCTTTTAACAACCTTCAATGAGAGGGAACGATGCACTCTCTAGAACCACCACTTAAACCCATTTTCTATCCGTTATTTGCATATAAATTGTGTGTGTGTGTGTGTGTGTGTAATACGAACTCCAGACAACAAAACCATGCGAGGAGCAAAGAGGAGTCGGAATGACACTGGCAGACATTTATCTGAATAAGACATTGAAGGGCCAGACATACTCTACAGCATGCAAGTAACTGGGAAGCAAAGGGGGACAAAGAAACACTCACACTTGGCAGTTCTGTGACATCTTTTTTTTTTTTTTAGTTTCCAAGACTGTCATTCTTTTTTTTAATATATATATCATTTTATTAGGAGCTCATACAACTCCTATCACAATCCAGACATACATCAATTGTGTAAAGCACATTTGTACATTCATTGCCCTCATTATTCTCAAAATATTTGCTCTCCACCTAAATCCGTGGCATCAGCTCCTCATTTTTCCCCTCCCTCCCCGCTCCCCGCTCCATCATAAACCTTTGATAATTTATAAATTATTATTTTGTCATATCTTGCACTGTTCAACGTCTCCCTTCACCCACTTTTCTGTTGTCCATCTCCCAGGGAGGAGGTTGTAGATAGATCCTTGTCATCGGTTCCTCCTTTCCAACCCACCTTCCCTCCATCATCCCGGTATCGTCCCTCACACCACTGGTCCTGAAGGGATCATCCGCCCTGGATTCCCTGTGTTTCCAGTTCCTATCTGTACCAGTGTACATCCTCTGGTCCAGCCAGACTTGCAAGGTAGAATTGGGGAGCATTTAGGGGGGGAGGAGGGAGCATTTAGGAATTAGAGGAAAGTTGTGTTTTTCATCATTGCTATATCGTACCCTGACTGGCTCGTCTCTTCCCTGAGTCCCTTCTGTAAGGGGATGTCTGTGACATCATTTTATGACATCATTCTGGCAAGAAGTTTTGCTCCATACAAAATTTGAGGTGTATCTGAACAATACAGGGCCTCAAATTCTTCCATTGAGGTAGCCTAAAAAAATTTTTTTTAGATTACCTAAATTGCAATTATACCTTCTGATCACAGCCCAAGTATGGTAACAATGCTTTATACTTCCGTTTCCTATCCAGGAAGCCGCTTTCTCCCTCCAGTGCCTGGCGATGAGCCGTGACTGGGTTAAAGGCGGCGGCCTCGGGCTCGGGCCTGCCTTCATGCTTCTCTCTAAAGTGACTGTCATCACCACTGCCTCCCTCCGTGGAAGGCCGGCCTGTCATGGCCGCTAATCATGGCCAAGCCCGAGAATTCTCCAGGAGGGGAAAGTGGACGTTGCAGAAGAGGCTCTTATTTATCCACACACAGATTGAGAACAGGCACAGGAAGCAAATGCAGAGAGACTACATGACAAGTTAATGGCATTTTGATAAAAACAGAATTTCTGAATTTCGCCTGACGGTGACAGGCATATTTCCATCCATTTTTTTTCCCCGAGAAAGTCATTCCTCTCTTCACATTTAATAAGCCAGCTATTGATTGATAATTCTGAGATGATGATGTATCTGTAGGAGTGACATGAAGGTTCCGTTATTCCCCGTTTTGAAAGCCCAGTGAGAAAGGTGCTTTCCCAATCAGGTTTAAAGGTGAACAGTTGAGCTTTCAGATGGGGGAGTTGTATTTCATCCAAGTGCGAGGTGCCTGATGCCAGCTCCAAGCCGCCACCCACCCCCACACACACCCCCAGAAGCTTAATGCTGTAACCTAAACTCGTGCTATAGGAAATGAATTACAGAAGCAATCTACCCTAATTTGTTAACTTATTCAAATAACAGTTATTATACTTAACTATGCTAAAGATTATCTTTTTTGTGGCAGATTGTTTATTTTTTGATGAGCCTAATTACTGATTTTCTAAAAGTAATTTACATTTATTACAAATACATCTTTTAAAATGTGACAGATAAATGTTGTTCCCATAATGTATTATGAAAAAAGTTACTATTTAAAAACACATTATTTAATTTGAAAGATGAATGGCAAACATCATTATTTTTTTTCCCTGCAACACCTGTGCCCTCAGCTCATTAAAATGTGTGATTCTGTGTAGAGCTGCTAGAAATGGGGAACGAGGGGGGAATCTATACCATATCTATACCCTAAAAATAAACTCGGTATGCAAAACTGAGGAAAAGCATCCCACTTGCTAATGTAGCTCAACTAATTTTATATGTTTCAGACTCTATGTACTGCAAGTGGGAACAAAAGTAGGAGTGAGAGAAATGTGTTTTGTGTGCAGTGTGTCCACCCTATAATCACATCTCCAGCAGTACACAGTCAAACTGACCATTAAGGGCAAGTAGCTGCACTTCTGTAAGCTGCTTCAAAACAAGTTCTATTAGGACGGATTGTACTGCAGGCCCTGCCACCCTCTGCAGAAAGCCTGGTAGAGCCCGGCTAATTTTGTTTTCTGAAAGGGGATAAAGGCTCAAAAGAAACACTACTCTGAGCATGACAGCATGTGACTGTGACCCTCAAGCCTCCAGTCGTGCTGGGATCGGAGCTTCAGAAGCTCTGGCACGGGAGGCTCATCGGAGGAGTCGGCTGTGGGGGTGCTCCTCCCCTCCCTCTGCGGTGCCCTGGGAGTTTTCGTCCCTGGCTTACGTAGATGTGCAGTTTGAAGTGCGACATGAATGATAAGCAGCTCCATCCTGCGATGGCGTGGGGAAGTGAGTGTGCCAGTGGATCTGTGTCACCGTCACCTTTCACCAGCAAGGACAGAGGGGAGCTACATGATCAGCCTGCCGGCCAGTTGGCAGCACTTGTTGAGCTCCTATGATGCCTGTCCCTAGGTTGGGCAAAGGGAGGAGGCAGACTGTACTTGGTGTAGAGCTCAGATCAGCCCCAAGTGACTTCTTATCCACCCACAGCTATTTAAATAGGCAGATCCACCAATCCCGTGCAGCTTTTTCAGAATCAGGTGGCCCAAACATCTGGAAGCCTAACTTCCCACCAGTCATTAGCACAGGGTTCCTGAGTATAAATAGTCCCGCATGGTGTATAAATAGACCACCTCAGTTGGTCAAAGTACCACCAAGAGGCCACTTTCTGGAATCTCAAAATGCTGCCATGCCTTCAGGGTTAAAAGGTAAGGGATACAAAGAGTATTTGGAAAATAGGTTTCCCACGGCATTGCTCTTCCTACAAGATTCAAAGGGGCAAACAAGGAAAAGCCCCGCTTTCTTGAAACCATTTGAAAGACCATCACTTGGGGTGCTCCGCTACCCAGAGTCAAATTCCCCCAATTCAATTTTTCATTGTGGTTTTGCAGAGAAAAAGAAATTCTCCAGTGGTGAAATCACTGTCATCTCCTCCAGAAGACAGAGAACTTTAGACTCACAAGACTCGGTCTGCAGCAGCAATGAAAAGGAATAAAAAAAATTCTTTCAAAAAGGTGTTTACTGCATTCTAATTAAAGCATACACACACACACACACACACACACAGAAGCTGTTGGTGAAGTTTGAACCTGCTCTCTCACTGAGTTTGCGTCGGCACAATTCCCAGGCCCACTGCTGGGCTCGGCAGGGTTTCATTTCTGTGTCACGTTTCTGTGAAAGCAGAGAGGTCCATCACGGCAGATCACATTCAAAGAAAGGTAACCGGAGAGATTCAGATATTCCTGCCTAATTCGGGGGAGGCGCATCATGTGTGACAGGAGTGCCTGCCAGAGCTGCCTGAGAACCATGCACTGCACTGATCTCTCTGCGGCACGCAGACAGTTATTTCTTCATTAGCCTCATCATAAGCCTCTGATCTCTGGTGAATGGCGTAACCCTAAACTTCTGCCTGGAGAAAAATCCCAGGGTCTAAAAATGTAGCTGGTCAAATGTACTCAATGCGGACACCCTTTCCTTTTCCTCTCGTTTGGTTGGGGTTGGGGTTGGGGTTTTGTTTTACTAGAGTTTTCTTGTTATTGTCTTGTTTTACTTTGGAATGTTTTAGCTCTATTGCCTTTCCTGCTTTTTTGGTTTATAAATGGGGTAGTTGGTGGCCGGAGGATTTTAGCTCTTAGGCAGTTCCTTGTGTTTAGACCTGCTGAGGTATACAGGTTTATTGTGAAAAGATCCACTGAGTTTTTGACAAACCTCAAAACGCTGCAAGAGCAAGCATTTCTCATGAGCACCACACACATTCTGATTCTATTAATGGGATTGACACTCAAAAGTCTGTGGTTTTGTCCAAGGCTTGCCAAACCAGTTTAAGAAACTGCCTTTGGTAACTGTCTACTATCGCTAAGCAATGCGGGTATAGTCATATCAAATTTACTTTTAAAATCACTGTAATCATGATTGCTCTGGATGTGAACGGCCATTTAATTAGTGTGCACTTTTGAGTCCCTTGACCTGTCATGCTAAATAGCAAGGCTTTGCAGGGTCAAACCCTTGAATGCACACATACACACAGAACCTGTGCCCCAGCCAGTCGGGCCTGCCCAGTGGGCCATGTTGGAAGAATTGATTATCCAAAGAGAGCTAAAATAGCAGGATTTCGTAAACCAGACTTTACTCGTCTAAGGATGCCCTAGGCAGTGGCCAGATTTCAAATGAGTCATGTCCTCAGCATTTGAACGATGTGCCATGGTCTTTCTTGAATGTCCACGTTGTTTGGCCATGTCAAATTTGGCCCCATCTGTCCCTGCCTGTCTCCCCGCTGTTCTGGATAGCTTTTCCTCCCCACAACTTCCACTCATTCCAGCCAGACCTCTGTGTGCTCAAGGTCTTCTGGCACACAACAGATGCAGGACTACAGAGAAAGAAAGAGCTAGGCAAAAAGGAAGAGAGCATGCCTTTCTAGAAAGACAGTAAAGCAACCTGACATCAGACTTCAGAACTCAGTTTACACTCAGACAAGTTAAAATGTGCTTGCCCTGAGATGAAAGCATGCAGCACGGACTAACCTCACATGCAACAGGTTGCTTTTCGCTAGTTAAATATGGAACAGACTGGATTTGGAAGAAATGATATCTAAGCCCTCAGATGTTTAGACAATAATAGGATCATGAAATCAGTCTCGCTTTCACAGTACTCTCTGCATCTGAAGGAAAGTGCATCTGTATTTGAGCTAGAAGCCCAGATAGCTCTCTCTAGGCATGGGACTGAAGCATTTACAATGATAACAACATTAGAAATATTTCACCCAGGAATTGTTCAATAGAACACACACAGTCACCAAAGGAAAGGATAAACCTAAGACTCCAGGTCGCCAAGCTATGAAGTCATTGTTAATATCTCACTGCATCACACGCCGTCAGCAGCCTCACCTTTTCACAATGATTTGAGGCTATCCGTAATATTCAAGGTCCACCCTGGGCAACAACCTTTTTTTTTAATGAAGTGAAATGACAGCCAAATGGGGGAAAGGTACTAGTTAAATACCTGGATTGGGAAAATCGAAAGAGGCATATGAGTCCCTTCAGACACCTGATACAAAAGATTGTACTATTGGCAGGGAACACTAAGTGGTGCAGTTGGTGGCCATCTTTGAGCAGGGCACCGCTCTTTCTAACTCTGCTGCTCAAGAGATTTGGTTGTCACGCAGCAGGCACACTCCCTTGTTTTCTAAAAGGAAGGTGAGTTTCTGGCAGGGTGGTAACCCTTATTTTTTCCCATTCCAGTTCCAGTTCACATCCACTACATTTTGCAGATTCAGGTCCAATCCAGTGTGCTTAGGTGGCCATGACTAAACTGGAGAGAACTGGCCCAAAGTCTTGGTTCAAATTGAGTTCAAACACAAGAGTGGTTACTTACCCAAAGGAAAGCTCGAAAGTTTGAGCTGTTCTTGTTTTCTTTGGGGGAAAAAAAAAAACTTTTTCAAAAATATCAATATTTCCCCCATTGATATTGAAAGATCTTCAACAATAGCCTGAACTATGAACTTCACTCTGATGAATGCCTTCAGATTGTCCCCCAAAAGCAGTCATAATGGCTCCTCACGGGGCTTTAATTTTTCAAATGAAGCAAACCTTTCTGAAACCTTTTCTTGTCCGTTTTGTGTTTCTTGTAGAAACAGCCTGGTTGCAGCTCAGGGGTGGCCTTGTACCCCCAGCCTGGGCTGGTCTCTGGTGTCATCACATCACTGCCGTTCATTACATTGAGTTCTCCCAAGAGGAATCTCCCTCTGAATGCGGTTTGTCCACATGAGCCCTGTGATCTGGATGTGTGCGCTGGTTCTCTTTAGGTGATCGTCTTTGAAGTTCAGCAAAGCTGCTTGTTCTCCCTGGAGTCCTGCCCCAAGCTACCTCTACCAACCCTCTCTCCAGCAAGACCGTTCTGCTTGCCTCTCTCCCCGCTGATCTCTAAAGTTCTACAGTTCATCACATGGATGGTTCATTAAGTTCACCTGTCTGACCAGTACTTGACCACTTTTTTTGGATTTTTTAAAATAGTAGGAAGCCTATGTTTATTTGAAAGAGGTTTTACCTAAAAAGCCAACTTACTTAGTTTTTAAATTGCAGCATAGGGAAGAAACACTGGTCCTGCTTTAAAAATTAAGCCACTTTTTAAAGCACCATATTATCTACTCCATTTAAAAAATAATCTATGCAGCACTTCAAGAAACAACTATCTAGTGTTGTATATTATAACGTGTGACATTCAACGATTGGATTGTTTACCACAGTTTTGTTTTTTATGCTTCTTGAGGTGGTAATGAGAAAAAAAGTTTTTTTTTTTTTTTTTAAAAAGTGTGCCTTGCTGTATTTCTTATACCATTTATTAAAAAGCTGCTTTCACAGTAAAATTGTATTGGTTTGAAAGGAGGAAATAGCAAGGTTAAGATGTGTGAATAATTTCTGTATATATGTATAACCAAGTACAAACATTGATGTATAATGACAGTATAAATGCTTTCATGTTTGTGATGTCTAGTGATGTGGAAAATAGAAGCCTTAAATCCATTAGATTGCATGGTAATTAAAATTGGCATAATAAACATAGTTTAATGGGGGAAAAGGAAAACTACTGATCTCTTTTACCTGTGTTCTTTACCAAATTGTTGTATCTGTTTCTGGGAAGATATAATATTTAAAGGCTTCCAAAATGCTTATGTTGCATAAGAGGCTTAAAATTTACTGACCCTAGAAACTGGACATGACATCATCACCATTTTCAAAGTCATTCTGGTCACGATAAAGATCTTGAAACAGCGTATCATTAAATGCCAATTCCCCTAAATCAATTCAAATTTATACCAGATTTTTATTTCATCTTATCATCAATGACTGAATGTTGGGCTTCAGGATAGCTTGTATGTCATATTTATTTTACATAATTATTTTGAGTGAGTTTGCTAGAAAGATGGTAAGTAAGTACGGAAAAATCTGACAATACTTTGGGGTTAGACTATAGATTTCAGGTATATTTATTTTGTCTAAAAGAAACTAGCAAAGAAATATTCCATTTTGTCTTTATGGACTCTTCTTACATTCAGTATTTTATCTATATTATAGTGTCTACTAAAGTGCCTGACAAACTGTCGGTGGTAGTACAAATTTACTGAGTTGAAGTATTGAGCAAGGTAGCATGGATGGCACCTGGCTCTTTGTTTCACAGAGACACATAGGAATCTGCTTACAAACGAAGTAGGCCACTGCAGACCCCGGATAGCGCAGTTCTACTCTGGTAAGCATGAGGTCACTCCAAGTGAGAACCAACCTTGTGCCAGTTGGAGCACTGAAACAGACGCATTGAGGAAAAGATATACCATAATCTGTAGACCAACACAGTCTAATTGATATAAAAATTCAAAAAGGGAAGATCTTTGTGAATTCTTGTGGACATGAGAATGACAATCATTCAACAGATCAATCAGAAACACCTTTTTTTTATGTGCAGGACACTGGTCTAGGAATTGCACTGATGAACAAGCAGAAAAAGACCCCAGCCTCAGGATACTGATCTACATTGGGACGAAGTGAACACCCCAGTGGGCTGCATGCTTGTCCTAGAGGTGAGAAAAAGAGAAGGCACGGTGGGAGGAGGCACAGGGAAGCAGCATAGAGGAATGAGGGGGGAAAGAGAGGGTTAGGAGAGATCAGAAAGACAACAGGCTATGAGTGAAATCGTGATGAAAAGGGCTGTAGGAGATGAGGTCAATAGAGGATTTCCTGAAGAAGCCTTTAAAAATCAAAGCTTTTGTATGCTAGGTGGTGAGGAAGCTTTGTAAAGTTGTCTTCTTTCTTATTTTTTTAATTATTATTTTATTATTAGAGCATAGATAAGGATTTTTAAAAGATTCACCCATAACTCTACCATTTTAATGACTATTTGGTATTATGCCCCTTCTAAGCGTTTTCCTATTCCTGAACAAAGGGCTCACTTTAGGTTCTTGAGTAGCTATGTTGTTGAAAAGGATTTTGAAAAGGCAGTTGTGTCGAGTTCGAATGTATGAGGGGAGTAAAGATGCAGAGATAAAAGTCCAGCTAGGAGACAGATGAAGAAAACAAGCCAGGTTTCAGATGATCATGGCATCTACCAGAAGTGGCCCAGAATGGAAGAAAAAGATTTTTCTACCTACTCGTCAAGCAAAAAGACAAAAACCCTATACTCTTTGAAATACCTAACAGCATTCCGAATCACTAGGACATGGCATTTTTTTACCTTCTGAAACAACCTACCTTTCCCTTAAGCAAAGCTAGAGCAAAGAGTCTATCTCCTGGTAGACCCTTCAAGGGACAAAAAGCAGGATGTTCTAGTTATGTGAACTGTTGGATGACCAGGGAAGGCCTTGGAGCATCTGAAAGATTCATTTGTGAATAATTATCTGCTTCGTACTAATACTACATTTGTAGGATGACCTTTAGGTTTTGTGAGGAAGCGACAGTTTTTCAGATCACAAGGAATGGAATAGCATCAGACTCTCACCCAGGCAAGTTCTGCCTTCCCAATCACCCTTGAAAGGGTCATCTGCCCACACACTTCCAGGGACCTTGGTTCATCGTCTGTTTAAGTAAGCGGTTGGGCATGTCTCTGTTAGAAGATGTTTTCTTTGGTTGTTAAAATCTGCGTAGTTACCTCCCTCCCCTAGCCCATGAATTTTTGCTCTCCAGTCGGTCCCCATTCTGACCCAACAAGAGGCTTCAGAGCATCTCTCCATCTTCTTTTGCATGACACCCCCAAAGATAACTGAGGCCAGGTGTACATTTGCTCCCCAACATGACTTTCATTTCTGAGTTCCTTCAAATGTCCTGCGGATGTCATGATTTTCTGATTTATTTCAACCTGGCTGAATGTTAACAGACAGAATCCTTGAGATTAAGGACACTGTATTCATCATCATACATGTAGAAAAAAAATCTGAACATTTAAGTGCTAAGTTTTCTCTAAAAATATATTCCAGATATGTTTATTCTATTATTGTAAATTTCAATAAATAAATGAATAAATAAAAGGAATCCCCGGCTTCCTTCAGTGGCCTAGTCCAGTGTCAGAGTTACCTTGAACCTCTTTCTGACATCAAATCCAAGCCTAACCTGTTTGGATATAAAACAGGATTTCCCCCTTTTCACGTTTACGTGTCCATGTAGTGCTTCAGCGTCATTCGTCACCGAGTGGCTCTTTTGAGAGGGACTGTGTTCGCCACTAGAGGTACAAAGGCAACGAACACGTATCTTTGCCTCCAATGGGTTAGCATGTTTTCCTTGTGAAAATGCCGTTCGTGTGCTTGAGTGCTCATGACTTAAATTAGATCATATCTCCATTTATTTTGTTTGCGTTCTAGTTTCTCTACATTATCTCAAAACCCGAATGAGCAAAATAATAGGCAAAATTCTCAGACTCTGGTCATGGAGTAAACGAGATGATTTCAACAGCTCATGGAGAAATGGAGTTACAGTACAGTAGACTTTTCCACACACTTTTTGAAGATCCTGGTATCTTGCATATCAATTCCTTCAGAGCTCTCGAGGACCCGTATGTGATGCATTTATTGGTTTTGGTTCAGCCAGCTCAGGTTCTGCCCGTTCTATCATTCCCGGGAACAAAGAGGATGAGACTATCAAAATGGGCTTCAACCATCCAGTTTGTTTTTTACAAGGCAAGTTGCTTTCATTTTGAAATGAAATTGGTATTTTGAATTTTAAAAGAATAACTGATCTTTCAAATTCAAAAACAACTACATTTGCAACACATTTTTCTATGTAGATGTTTTTCCAACTTTCATTTTAAATAATTTCAGATCTATATAAAAATTGAGGCACCATGGCTGCATATTGAGTTACATGTAAGGATTTACAATCTCAGAAACCTACGGGGCAGCTCTACTCTGACCTCGCGGCCCGTTAAGGAGCAGGATCCACCGGATGGCAGGGAGTTTGGGAGGTTTTTTGGTATAAAAGTTGAATGAATGTCACATGCGTATTAGGTAATACGGCTCATTAACAACTTGCTACTTACACTTCCATCTCTCTTCCCCCCTACACACACACACACACACACACACACACACACACACACACACACACAGTTTTAGTGTGCTTGAACCATTTAAAATTAAATGGAAGTTCATTATCATCGTCATAAAGTTCAGCATCAAAACCAAGAATTTTTAAAACATTCATCCATAACTAAACTCTTGGCCATCAAATCAATACATCACCTAAAAAGAAAAGCATTTTTCAGAAATTCAGTCTTGTTATCACATCCAAGGAACTTAATAGCGACACGATAGTTTTATCTGATAGCCACATTTTCCCAAATGCCTTTACTTTTTAATTACAAAAATTTTTTTTCCTTTCCTCTTGAAGCAATTGGCTTCATTTTATTAAGGGCTCTTTTTTTAAAAAAATAATTTTATTAGGGGCTCACACAACTCTCATCACAATCCATACATACCATACATCAACTGTGTAAAGCACATTTGTACATTCATTCCCCTCATCATTCTCAAAACATTTGGTCTCCACCCAAGCCTCCAGTATTAGGTCCTCATTTTTCTCCTCCCTCCCCGCTACCCCCTCCCTCGTGAGCCCTTGATAATTTATCAATTATTATTTTGTCATATCTTGCCCTGTCCGACATCTCCCTTCACCCACTTTTCTGTTGCCCGTGCCCCAGGGAGGAGGTCACATATAGTTCCTTGTAATCAGTTCCCTCTTTCCAACCCACTCTCCCTCTACCCTCCCAGTATCACCACTCACACCACTGATCCTAAAGGGCTCATCCGTCCTGGATTCCCTGGATTTCCAGTTCCTATCTGTACCAGTGTACCTCCTCTGGTCTAGCCAGACTTGCAAGGTAGAATTTGTATCATGATAGTGGGGGGTAGAGAGGAAGCATTGAGGAACTAGAGGAAAGTTGTATTTTTCATCGTTGCTACATCGCACCCTGACTGGCTCGTCTCCTCCCTGAGACCCCTCTGCAAGGGGATCTCTAGTGGCCTACTAATGGGCTTTGGGTCTCCCCTCCGCACTCCCCCCATCATTCACTATGGTAAGATTGTTTGTTCTGATGATGCCTTATACCTGATCCCTTCGACACCTCGTGATCGCATAGGCTGATGTGCTTCTTCCATGTAGGCTTTGTTGCTTCTGAGCTTGATGGCCGCTTGTTTAACTTCAAGCCTTTAAGACCCCAGATGCTATACTTTTTGATAGCCGGGCACCATCAGCTTTCTTCGCCACATTTGCTTATGCACCCATTTGTCTTCAGTGATCCGTCGACACCTCGCGATCACACAGGCTGATATGTTCTTCCATGTGGGCTTTGTTGTTTCTGAGCTAGATGACTGCTTGTTTACCTTCAAGCTTTTATATTTTATCCTTTTCCCCTACCCCTACAGAATCCAAAGATCATGCTTTGCTTTTAATTTTTGTGACTAATCTTGAATTCTTTTTCTAACTTTTTTTTTTCATTATTTAATCTTTCATTACATTGATTTCTGAAGATTTCAGACAAGTTTTACGGAATAGCCCACAACCTGCGTGAGGCTGGCTATTGCCTGATTACATTAACTCAGGATAAATTTATTTGTCAAGTGTACTACATAGCAAATGTGTTCAGCAGCATACCTTCTTGAAGTTATAAAACATGGCTGAATCACTAACATTTCCTGTCTTGATGTTTACAGCGTATCCTTACATCTCATGCTTCATAATTCTAAGGCAGGGGTCAGCAAACAGATGAAACCTAGCCCTATTTTTTTTTTTATTATATGTGAGCTTAAGAATCACCTTTACATTTTTAAAAAGTTTTTTAAAACACACAGGAATAATTTGTGACATGTAAAATTCATAAAGTTCAATGTTAAGTGTCCACGAATAAACATAGTAAAATACAGCCACTGCAAATCACAGTTGTGACAGAGACCATATTGGATCAAAAAGCATAAACTGTTTACTCTCTTGGACATTGAATAAGGAAGACCAAAGAAGAAGTGATGTGTTTGAATTAAGATGCTAGAGAAGAATATGGAAAGTACCATGGACTGCTAAAAGGCAACCAAATCTGCTTTGGAAGAAGTATAGGCAGAACACTCCTCAGAGGCAAGAATGGCAACATTGTGTCTCACCTACTCTGGACATGTTGACAGGAAAGACCAGTCCCTGGAGAAGGACATCTCGTTCAGTAAAGCAGAGGCGCAGCGATAAAGTGGAAGGCTCTCAACGAGGTGGACTGACATGGTGGCTGCACAGTGAGCTCAGCCGTAGGAACGATGGGGAGGATGGGGCAGGAGGAGAGGGCAGTGTTGAGTTCTGTTGTGAACAGGGTCACTATGGGTCAGCACTGACCCAGGGCACCTAACAGCTGCAGCAGCATTTACTCTCTGGCCCATTACAAGGCAATATTTTCAACCTTTTGTGTAAAGTATTTTACTCTGACATTTTTTAAAACATAGGTTGTATTTTTATTTACAGATTTAATGTAACATATAAGAACCTACAATAGTTACTTTTTTATTTTCTAGATTTCATGAAGTTCTCGATGTGGGCTTTATATTATCTTAGAAAATAAAATACACTCTGTTTCACAAACTTAAAATTAAGTTGCTTATTACTACTTAACTTTTGACTAAATTGGTTTGTTAGTAAAAGACTTAATCAAAACTTTCGGGAAAATTGGCACAACACAAACTCACTTCAATTCACCAGTAAACAGGATTCCTTTCTCTATATGTTTTTTCCAAAGAAAAGTAGGCCACTTCACAGTCAATTTTTCAAGTTTATTTTTCAACTCAACCAAAGGTAAAACCACGATCAAAAGATTATCTAACAGGCCCTTTCATTTCCTGAATGCTTATTACAAATAGATTCAATTAACCAACTTGAATTTTATATTAGCCAAATTTGAATTTATCAAGAAATTTGAGGAATCTTAAAAAATGTCATGAAAAAAATATGTACTATGAAAAAACAGCATGCATTTCCAAAAAAATGTACAGCAAAATAAACTCTTACTAACATTTATAGAGTGTCAGAGAAAAGAATACCTATCAGAGAAATATGAATGAATGTGGATAAAAATAAGAACAAACATCAGATTTGTGGTAAAACTTGGGTAACAGAATGGTGAAATCATGAATGCATGACCAAAGGTTTATGAGATCATACCCCCAAGAAAGCAGCAGCACATAAAAGCTGGTTTTAAGAAGGGATGAAACAGTTGAAGAGGAAGGCCACAGCAGTAGACCATCCCAAAAAAAGTTTCAGAGAAAAAAAAAATCGAGCAGTTTGTCACCTGATTGAAGAGGATTGACAACAGCAGAA